GGGTATCACTTTGCCGATTCAAAAGGGAGAGAAGGCTTGGTAAGCTCAGAAAGTGGGACCAAACCAGCCACTGTGTGTATTTCGAAGTAGCGCAAAAATCCACTGTGTTGCACGTGCTGTTAAATGTAAAATCAAAACTCTTCTCAGAAAACCCAAAGTTCCACTTCACTCTCCCGACCGTTTTTTATAGACCTTGCTTAAAAAATAACTTGATAAGGATATATCATGTTTTGAGCCATCAAGGCTCACCTGCCGGCCACTACATGTTAGGTATTCCATCATTTGACTTGCGATAACTTATTGCTCGGCGTCGATTCCTTCATGGAGGAGTATAGCCTCAAGCATCGGCTGAACCGCGGGCGGTGCTACTGATAAGTCCTAGTAGGACGCCACAGGCGCTTGTATAGCACTTGGATCTCAATGGCTCAAGACATAATATATCCTTACACATCACTGTTTTAGTCACAGACGATTCTACATACCTGTTAACACTCTCCTGAATTTCGTTTTCTAGATTCAGAATAAGTAATCTGAAAAAGAGTCCTCTAATATTGGGGAATGATTTCTCATCTTTGGAAGCATCACAGATTAAATGTACTTGAAAGTTTTCTTAGTTTTTTGTAAAGCGATGCAAATTGCGTGACGTTTTTAGCAATATGATAATCGAAACTGTAACATGATTATTGAAAAACTGACTGCTAACGTCATATATATTCAAAAGTGACCAAAAAAAAATAGTGGCTTCTGGCCAAAAGTTTCATTCATTCCACTTTAGGAGCAAGTCGACCACGGTGCCATTATAGCACAAGGTGCTGTCCCAATTGAAGAAGAGGATGATGAAGAGTCACTCCATGCAAAAATCCAAAGGATAGAACACACATTATATCCCGAAGCTATGCAACTTGTTGCTAGAATGATTATCTCATCAGACAATTGAGAATGAATATTTCGTCTAATTTGAACCAAACCATTTATAGATTTCTGTAAGTTAAATGATATCCTGTGAAATCACATCCAAAACTTTATCGCCCACTATCAATACAAATCAAAAGACCCCTGCAATGGTGCAATAGATTGTGTTTGCTCTAGAACTCTTCGAGCATTACATCTTCCTTCTAAGGTTTTTATGAAGAAATTTGGCCACCGAATCAATGGTCTACCTGGACAACGTCTTTCGTCCACCGCTTGTCGTTAGAACTCGTTACGTTCGGCCTAGCTCATCATCGATAGACTGGCGTATTAAGCGGCGTATTCAGTTCTTAATCATTGACATAGGTCGTGAGCTTTGAACTCACTCTCTCGCTCGCGAATTGACCTTTCGACAGAGCGTTTGATAATGTTTAATGATTTTCCATCCTGCTTACGTAATCATCGGATTCCTGGCACATTTGCTATAACCGGCAAAGTGGTCTGGAGATTTCGTTTCTTGAACTCAACGGCTTTCTTTCCTTTCCGCCTAAAATGTATTCCTGCGCATAACATGCAATCGTCTGATGCCCTTTAGAATAAGGGAACAGCAACGACTTGAGTAAGATTAGATCTTCAATCATCTACTATCTGGTCTATCCCTATGTCACTCACTAGTAGGTGATCTCACGCCTACGTTCAATACTGGATGTGGAAATTTTGAAATTGTGAATCACCATAGATGGTAATTGTCGTCATCATAAACTTAGAAAACCTCACAACATGTTCGGACCATTCGAACCCGTACGTCTTAGTGAAACGCTCTTTAGGCGTTCAATCTTTCGCGTTATAATCTATGTTAAAATTGGGGAATGTGTAATCTGCCTCGAGTAAAACTTCTCCTTATCACTGCAAAATATTTCAATTTTCGCTATGGTGCATGCTTAAACGTCTCAGTTTCCATGGTCAAATTTGTGCTCACGCGAAAACCAACGAGATCGACTTTGCCCTTTTAGCGTTTTCAGAACCAGTACTGAGCACTTTACCAGTGAACCAGATGCCACTGCACACAATGCAATGATTTTCCAATAAATAAAGTTTGTAACATGTGTTAACAGTGATATTACTGATACCTTAGAGAATGGAGTGGTGAGAAAAAACATGGATTCAGGCGGGAATCGAACTCGAGTAATATTACTTATTGAAAAATACACGAAGTAAAACAAAATAGGCGGCTTACCTCCAATTTTCGCCTTATTTCGAAGTTGTGTTCTAGAAGCTGTGAAGAGATCTACTGATTTTTTCCTCGTGTGCTCTAAATAGAAAAAAATTCTGATCCGTCAATATGTGAAGTATAGCACAAAAATATTCTACGACCACGAAAACCTATGGAGGTATGGGGAATCGAACCCCAGCCCTCTCCCATGCTAAGGGAGCGCTCTACCACTGAGCTATACCCCCACGCACAAGATGTTGCGGTGGTTTTCCTAAATATAAAGTTAGCGATGTGTGCACAACAACACTACTTATCGGATCCATGGAGTAAACCAAAACAGGCAGCCTATTTCTCATCTTCGGCTCATCTACACCTAAGTCACATGGTATTCAAAATGTTGGACAGCATTTCCTCTATATGTTCAGATGAACAGGAAATGTCGATGTTTCCTGATAGGTGATACATAGTGCAGAAATATTAGACGGTCACAAAAACTCCTGGAGATATGGGGAGTTGAATCCCAGCCCTCTACTTGGGCTCTCTGGCACTGAGCTACATCCACTGTGCGGAGTGTCGTGGTGGTTTTCACACAAATAAAGCTTGTGACATCCGTTAACAGTGATTTCACTCATTGAGATAAACACGAATAGAGCAAAATGGGCAGCTTATCACTTATCTTTAGCTTATTTCGATACTGTAGTGTAGGAAGACGGAAATATACCCCATGTGCTCCGTTGTGTACAAAATGTCAATACCCTAATACTTGAAGTATAATACGGAAATATTCGGAGACCTCAAAAAATCCTGGAAATTTGGGGAATTGAACCCCAGCCCTCTCCCATTCTGAGGGACTGCTCTACCACTGAGCCATACGCCTACTGGAGGAGTGTCGCGATGGTTTTCCAGTGAACGAAGCTTGTGACATGCGTTCACATTGACGTCGCACTACACGAACAGATGAAATTATATTTCGCGTCGTCTCGACGCGATTTTTCGGAACACTAAAATGTTAAACTGATTCTCCCCTCACATATTCAGATCCTCCACAGCATGCCGAGACGCGGTGACACACGTTTTCAAGGAGATCACTTGTAGTTGAAAAAATAAAACACAACGAACCGGTTTTTTGGCTTTCCTCAACGCTGAAACGTTTAGCAGATCGGAATCTGAGTTAGCGAGGCGAGTATTCTGACCTGATCTACCAGCTTTTGCCTCAGATATCCCAACTGAGAATGCATGCTTGTGGTCAGCTTGGAGGGAACGTGATCACCGGGTAATGTCGATATCCACAGATTATCGTGTCGGAAAACCTTAGATATTGAGCTATTCCATTTTCAAAAAGGCAATGTGATAGAACTGCAAATAGCTCAACTTTTCTGGAAAATATTTATGTCGTCAGTGTTGATTTATAAATCAGTTTACCAAATATTTTGGTGTATCTGAAACAGAAGAATTTCAAGCGTAATAACAACTCGTGGACAATAATCGGGCATGTTTCTTGAGAAAAGGCATATGGGTAATAAGTCCTGATAAATCACACCTTTAGATATAGGCACAGTGTGACAACGCGCGAATTAGTTTATCAAGAAGCGCCAAGATAGTCGCTAATGAAGCACTTTTAGATTTCTGGTGTCTTTATGACACTTTGCTTATTTGATTACTTGTTCTTGAATAAACAAAAAGGCCCTTGGTTCAAAACACGTTAGTTAGTGATCGTATAAAGAACTTTTGTGATTTACTAGAAATATGTGCTATCAATCCATTATGAAGTCTTTGGTCCAAAACAAGTTACTTGGAGATCGTAACGTAAACCGTAAAGAAGGTTGAAATATGTTACAAATATGTGCAGTAAATCCATTATGGAGCTGCTGCAAAGAGAGTGGAAAAAACCTAGTTATTTGGAGAATGATGAAAGGCAAAAGGAGAAAAACTACTTTAAATTTGAGGAAAAATAACAAAGCCGATTTGAACTACTCAACGTAATGAATTGCTTCAAACCTCTCACTTTCGCTTTCTACATTGACCAAATTATATGAAAGCGGTGGTAGATTTTTTGTATTCTTTATTAAGGAATGCACGATGTAGAACAAAATGGGTAGCTCACTTCTCATTTTCAACTTATTTTGAAGCCGTGCTTTGGGAACACTGAAATGTTCCACTCCTCACGTGCTCCAATAGGAAGAAAATTCTGATTCCTTAGTACGTGAAGTATAGCACAGAAATATTCGACGACCATAAAAATGTCTGGAGGTGTGGGGAATTGAACCTCGCCCTCTCCCATGCTAAGGGAGCTCTACCACTGAGCTATACCCCCGCGCACAAGATGTTGCGGTGGTTTTCATACATATAAAGTTAGCGATATGTGTGCAGAACATCACTAATGATCGAATCCAAGGAGTGGAAGAAAACAGCCAGCCTATTCTCATCTTCAGCTTATCTTGAACTATTTCATATGGCTATGAAAATTTTGGTCTGCATATCCTCTATATGATCAGACGAATAGGAAATGTCAATGTTTTCTAATAGGTGATATATAGCGCAAAAATATTCGACGGTCAAAAAAACTTCTGGAGATATGGGGAGTTGAATCCCAACCCTCTTCCTGGGCGCTCTAGCACTGAGCTACACTCCTATTGTGCGAGGTGTCGTGGTGGTTTTTCAATGAATAAAGTTTGTGACATCTGTTAACAAAAATAGCCTTATGAAGTATGCACGAAGTAGAGCAAAATTGGCAGTTTATCTCTAATCTTCAGCTTATTTATAGGAACACTGAAATATTCCACCGATTTTCTCATGCGCTTCAATAAGAAGAAAATTCTAATATCCTAATCCTAGATGTATAGTACGTAAATATTTATTCTCCAGACTCATAAAGTCTTAGAGATATGGGGAACCGAACCCCAGTACACTCCTATGCTAAAGGAGCACTCTACCGCTGACCTATACCACCAGTGGGAGTGTCGCGATGGTTCTCCAGTGATTGCAGCTTATGACATGTGTCCACTAGGACATCATTCATTATCGAATACACAGTGTAGACCAAAAAGTAGCTTGGATAATCTCAACGTTGTGTTAAATAACACTGAATGTTCCACCGAGTTTCTCCTCGGGTGCCCCATTGAGAAGGAAATGTCACTGCACCCTTATCCGTGAAGTATGACACAGAAATATTCGATGACTACAAAAAGTCCTGGAGGTATGGGGAATTGAACCCCAGCCCTCTCCCATGCTAAGGGAGCGCTCTACCACTGAGCTATACCCCCCCCTGCAGAGTTATCGCGATGGTTTTCTATCGAACGAAGTTTGTGACATGCGTTCACATTGACGTCACAATAGACGAACAGATGAAAAAAAAATATATTTCACCTTATTTCGACGCTATTTTTGCGAACATTATAGAGTTCAACCAATTTCTCCTCACATATTCAAATTTTCCACAGCATGCTGAGAAGTGGTGGCATACGTTCCCAGCGCGATCACCTGTTGTTGAAAAAACAAAACAGAATGAGCCGGCTTTTCGATTTTCCTTAACGCTAAAACGTATAACAGAGCGTATCTTGAGCGAGCGAGGAGCGTTTTTTGAAGTGATCTACCAGCTTATACCTCAGACACCCTAGCTGCGGGAATCATGATTGTAGTCAGTCTGGGGGAAACGGGATTGATCACCGGATAATGTCGATAGCCACAAATTATCGTGTCGGGAAACCATGAATACAGAGTTATTCCCTTTCCGAAAAGGGCAATGTGATGAACTGCAAATGGTTCAAATTTTTGGAAAAAATTCATGCCGACAGCGTGGATATTTGGTATGAGTTTGTCAGATATCATGGTGTGCCAAAAGCCAAAGAATTTAAGGTGTAATAGTAGTGCGTGGACAATAATTAGGTATGTTTCGTGCGAAAAGGCATAAGGGTTATAAGTCCTTACAAGTCACACCTTCAGATGTAGGCACAGTTTGACAACGCGCGAAATAGTTTACCAAAAAGCTCAATGTAGTCGCTAGTAAAGCAGCTTTAGATTTCTGATGTCTTTTGATACTTTGTTTATATGATTACTTCTTCTTAAATCAAGAGAAAGGCTTTTGGTCTAAAACAACTTAGTTAGTGATCGTATAAAGAACGTTTGAGATATGTTACAAATATGTGCTGTCAACCCATTATGAAGCTACTGCAAAGAGAGCGGAAGATACATAGTTATTTGATGAATGAAGAAAAGCAAAGGGAGAAAAACTACTCAACATTTGATGGAAAAATAACAAAGCCGATTGAACTACTCAACGTAACAAATTGCTTTACACCTCTCACTTTTGCTTGCTTCAATTAACTAAATTATATGTTAATGGTGGTATGTTTTTCTTCTGTAGAAATAGCAAGGGAGTAATTTTTTTATAAACTGAAATTTCCCAGGAAATGTGCTCTAAAGATATCTTTATAGAAAATGGGAAAAGAGCTATTTCATTGAGAAAATACTTCCGCAAAAGTTGATAGTTACTATTACTTGCACTCCTGTCTGCTTTCCTTTCTAATATCAATATTTTTCTTGACCCGTAGTCGTGTCACATCATAAAGGAACAGGAACTTTGCTCAGGCGACCTCCCTTTTTCGAATGGTCTGTCTTTCAAGTCCCCTTTGAAGATCTCGGTCTGCTCAATGGCACAGGACTACATCCCAGTTCGAATCTTGGCGCTGGGCCATCGGTGTCGGCGTTTGGCCGGTCGCCAAAAGCGGCGTTCGTCACGGTGCTGAGTTTTTTTTTTGGAACAATGTAGCAAAGGAAAGCAATAATAAAGCCTTAATCTAAATTCCATTATAAATTAAAATCCGCTGTTAGTAGGAATCGCTACACAGAAGGAGGCAGCTCTAAAGATATACCATTCTAATATCTAAGTTTGTATTTATTATCAAGAAGTGGCTGGCAGATCTCAGAGTGTAGTTGTCTTGGATGCTAAGTATCACAGATATGAAGATTATTTGCCAATATTGGCTTCGCTAATTTCCCTGATACCTCTACTACAAGTTTTTTTGTTCTCTAAGTCACTATCACACCAATAATGACTCAATAGCGACAGACTGAAAGTGCGTTGGATTTGATAAATTGAATTTGAAGAAAAGCCTTTACTAGCATTGTTAACAAGCTTTTCAGAATTATCGAACTGCTCAACAAGTCAATACAAATGTCCATCATCACAAAGGTTTCCACATGCATTCTTTTTTATCGTTTTTGAGATCTCGTTCAAAGCAATATAATCTGTTAACATATCTCAACATTTTGAGTTCCCACATAGTAATTAACCGGATTTCCAGCTACCTAATCTTCTTGAAAGGTAAAAGTTGGGAAACACGATCATAATTTTCCATTCAGGTGACGCACTAGCAACTCATATATCTAGATCTGAATTAACAAGAATTAAATGACACGAAATATCCTGTCAAACGTCTTACTAATCGCATAGTTGCAATAACTGACCCCCCAAGTTCGGATGATTACACTCTACTGATGATTCAAATCGCTCGACTTTTCTTCCAGATAACTTATCCTGTGTAACGAGCAGTCAACAATATCACAGTACTCGTTAGAATACGAAAATAAATAGGCGTACGTAATTATTTAATATGCAGTCATATGACTCAAAAGAAAGATTGTTTGCATGTTTAACGATACAGAACCATGGCGCATCATATTGCCGTCAGCGTCACACCATCCAAAATAACGGGATTCCGTTGAAACTGGGAATTCTTCCTTATCCATCATATTTAGCATTCAAGATCTATTCGTAAAAATCTACTGGCAGGTTTCTAAACAATACAAACCAGCACATTATGACAGTGTATCTTCGGATCGACGCGTTCTTCTGATTGACTACAACTGATTGTGACTTTGTTGTAAGACGAAAACCTGGGTTAAGACTTTATGTTTGCTTCTATCTACGTGTCACAGCATTTTAGTGGCGGGAACGTCATTTGGCGGCCCGCCAAACACCGACGTCGATAGCTCCGCTCCAAAATCCAAGCGAGGAATGAATATATTATGTAGGTGAGCTAGAGTCACCACAAGAGGAATAGACCACAATTTGATCGATAATGAATCATTTTCCGAGTAAAACAAACGCAATCAAATTTTCAGAATGCTGTCTTAATAGTAATAATAATAGTAATAGTATCTGTAGTATAGTAATAGTAGTAGTATATGTCTTAATAGTAATAGTAATTATGTCTTAATAGTGCTTTTTTAAGACTCGAAGGAAAGGTATAATATGATAAAATACCAGCCAGCTAGCAATCGAGTGCGAAAACACTCTGTGTTAGGTGAATGACATAGACACCTGACATAGAGTGTAAAGCGTAGGTCGTCGATAACTATATATGAGGAGTGTGACGCTCCCAAGAGAACTGACTATGAAAAGATCGACAGACGACGGGTTCTGCCCGGCTGATGAGTCTGTAAGGACGAAACACTTTGACCATTTAGTCTGTAATTTTCTAGGTGTGAGAATCATATTTTGTAGAATAGATAAATGACTACTTGGGAATACAAGAATTCTGGAGTGCCAATATTTTAGACAGCAAATGTACACGAACCACGCTATCGCTGAAGTCTTGTGATTTAATGATTTATTAAGAGTGGAGTTTATTTTGTGATACGCAAACACTGACTTATGCTCTCTTGCGATGCAGTTATAAGTCTATTTATTTGATCAATCGTTTCGACACCTGTCAATATCTGGAAGAATAGGTATCGGATTTACTCACAGTCTTTCGCAGGAGACAAATCAGTACTGTCTTGTCAATCAACCGTACTATTTTAGAATATTTTCTGTTCTATTTTGCTCAATATAAAATTTTTTGAGCAAGAGAATTTGAAATCATTTCTAGCGAGCCTCGACTGCTGTATTTGTGAAGGAGCTATGAGATAATTCACGTCATCGATCCCTCTTACCATTTCCATCTAAGGATTAACTTTCAACGTAATATGTTTGCTATAATTTCAGGCTCTACGTAAGCGAAATGTACGGCTGATTTGCTTAGCCGGCTACATGAGACTGTTTTCGCCGGATTTCATTCAAACATGGCGAAATCAAATAATCAATGTTCATCCATCAAATTTGCTATCGTTTGAAGGTTCACTTTCATCCGTTACAAAATATGACATCTTTCATCGCTGTTACGCGCCGACTTCTAGAAATTAGACAGTTTATAAAATTGAATTTGCCATTAATTATGATGAATGATTCCGATTACGCGAAGTGCCTCATTGGCGTTTATAATGATTTCTATTTACGTTATGGCTTAAAATCCTTTTATGATATGAAGCTCATTTCAGGAGCGCATGATGTTCGAGATGCTCTCAGGTTTGGAGCGAAAATTACTGGCTGTACCATACATTGCACAGATGTAAGTATGATGCTGCCTTAACAAAATAGATTTCCATAACGACTAACTATTTTAAAAAATGAAGAATTAGTCAAAGGCATCTTAATTAAAAATCTGGATAAATACCCGAAGGAAAAAGAGAAATTAGAACGTCTGCCGAGTATGACAATTTTGCTAAGATGGGAGAGGAAAATCATCTCATAGCCTGATCATCAATAATCTTTTAGCAACGAAATTGCTATCGCCTTTGTTTTCTTGACTTTGGACAAAAATCGAAAGATACTGAGGTGATGTGGTAGAACTGAAGCTAAACCAAGGCTTCTCATTTCGATTAACACAAACGATCCATAAACATGCGTTCAAACTATTGGATTCAGAAATAATTGTTGTTGTTAACTTTAGACCAATATAATTCAGCTGTATTAAACCCTATTCGGCTGAAATAAAAACATTAAAGCTACAGGTGTTCAATTAGAATATGGAGCATAACTTATAAAGGTGGGATTCGAATTACAGAGAGGCGACCTGAGTGGTGGGGATTATTATTTTGAACGTGAAAGTAAATCAACATTCTGAATTCCGTTCTGGAGGACACGATGGCATTCGCAAATGTATTGTACGTATGTGCTGAGCAAACGTTAGAAGTTCGGATAAATCAAATATGGTTGTCATTTGTAGAAAAATTCAAGCGAACATATATTTGAGTTGAAAACCCAAGATTCTGTTTAGGAATGAGTGGACAGAACAAAAATAGCTTATCAATAAATGTACGTAGTTGCCAGCTTTTAAAATAATCTAATGGCCTCGAAATCACTCTTAGCTGCTAAAGAACCAACAGCGCACATCAAGTGTTAAATAATCCGATCTATAAATATTCGTCGCATCTATTTGGAGAGCTTAGTATCGCCAATATTACACATTTGTAAACAATGTAAAGATCTCAAGAGAAGATGTCGAGTTTTGCCAAACGGAGCTTTTCTAGAAAGTAAAGTTCTGAAATATTGCACTTCAATGATGGTAATCAGTTATTGCATGTTTAGCAAATACAAAAAGGCTTCAAAAAATAAGGTGTTCACCGATTTTTGCCGTTTTATTACTAAGTTTACAATCCCGGTTGGATAATTAGCAATTCGAGCTCGTTCTTCAAAAACATCCAGTGTTCTATCAACGTTTTGCCCATTTTCCCAAAATTAACTTGTGCACTATAACCTTGTGATCGTAGTTTTATCACATATCTATCAGTTGGTAAAAAATATTGAGCACAAAGATTTTGGTGTTGATCAATCCTTGAAGGATGCTCTGTGTAGATACCCCACCAGGTATCCTTATAGGTAATTGGGTGGTATTTGCCTAAACAGTGACTCATGGTCTACCGATATCAGTGGTCCTATCATCTTGAACAACATGGGTATCAGTTTGCCGATTCCATAGGGAGAGAAGGCATGGTGAGCTCAGAAAGTGGGATCGAACCAGCCACTGCGTATATTTAAAAGTAGCGCAAAAATCCACTGTGTTACACGCGTTGTTAAATGTAAAATCAAAAGTCTTTACATAAAGCCCAAAGTTCCACATCACTCTCCCGACCGTTTTTATAGACCTTGCTCAAAGCAAAACTTGACAAGGATGAAGGCTCAACTGCCGATCACTACAACGTCGGATAATTCCATTATCCGACTTGCGATGAGTTATTGCTCGGCGTCGATTCCTTCATAGAGGAGTATAGCCTCAAGTGATCGGCTGAACCGAGGACGGTGCTAATGATGAGTTCCTGGTAGACGACACAGGCGCCTGTATAGCACTTAGACCTCAGTGGCTCAAAACATAATATATCATTATACATCGCTGTTTTACTCGCGGAACATTTTACATACCTGCTAACAAAGTGTGCTGATTTCAGCTTCCCAGAGTAAAAAAATAAGTAATCTGAAAAAGAGTCCTCTAATATTGCTGAATGATGTCTCATCTTTGGAAGCACACAGATTAAATAGGTTTTCTTAGTTTGTTGTAAAGCGATGCAAATTACGTGACGTTTTTAGCAATATGGTAATCGAAACTGTAACATGATTATTAAAGAACTGACTGCTGGAGTCATAAATATTCAAAGCGACCAAAAGTGAATAGTGGCTTCTTTCCAAATGATTCATTCATTCCACTTTAGGAGCAAGTCGACCACGGTGTCATTATAGCACAAGATGCTGTCTCAATTGAAGAAGAGGATGATGAAGAGTCACTCCATGCAAAAATCTAAAGGATAGTACACACATTATATCCCGAAGTGATGCAACGCGTTGCTAGAATGATTATCTCATCAGACAATTGAGAATGAATATTTCGTCTAATTTGAACCAAACCATTTATAGATTTCTGTAAGTTAAATGATATCCTGTGAAAATCACATCCAAAACTTTATCGCCCACTATCAATACAAATCAAAAGACCCCTGCAATGGTGCAATAGATTGTGTTTGCTCTAGAACTCGTTGAGCATTATATCTTCCTTCTAAGGTTTTCATGAAGAAATCTGGCCACCGAATCAATGGTCTACCTGGACAACGTCTCTCGTCCACCGCTTTTCGTTAGAACTCGTTACGTCCGGCCTAGCTCATCATCGATAGACTGGCGTATGAAGCGGCGTATCCAGTTCTTAATCGCTGGCGTAGGTCGTGAACTTCAGGCTCACTTTCTCGCTTGCGAATTGATCTATCGACGCGCGTTTGATAATGTTTAATGATTTTCTATCCTGCTTACGCAAGGATCGGATTCCTGACATATTTGCTATAACCGACGAATTGGTTTGGGGATTTCGTTTCACGAACTCAACGGCTTTCCTTACCGCGTAAAATGAATTCTTGCGCGTAACATGTAATCGTCTGATGCCCTTTAGAATAAGGGAACAGCAACGACTTGAGTAAGGTAAGATCTTCAATCAACTGCGATTTGGTCTATCACTATGTCACTCACCAGTAGGTGATCTCACGCCTACGTCCAATACTGGTAGTGGGGATTTTGAAATTGTGAATCATCATAGATGGTAATTGTCGTCATTATAAACTCAGGAAACCTCACAGCATGATCGGTCCATTCAAATCCGTACGTCTCAAAACGCTCTTTAGGTGTTCAATCTTTTGCGTTGTAATCTATGTTAAAATTGGGGAATGTATAGTCTCCCTCGGTTATCACTGCGAAACATTTTAATTTTCGCTATGGGTGCATGTTCAAATGTTTCAGCTTCCACGGTTAAATTTGTGTTCACGCGAAAAATAACGAGATTGACTTTGCCCTTTTTGAGTTTCCAGAACCAATTCGACTGAGCACTTCACCACTGAACCATATGCCACTGCACAGAATGCAATGATATCCCAATAAGTAAAGTTTGTAAGATGTGTTAACAGTGATATTACTGATACCTTAGAGAATTGAGTGGTAAGAAAAAACATTGATTCAGGCGGGAATCGAACCCGAGTAATATTACTTATTAAAAAATATACGAAGTAGAACAAATTTGGCAGCTTACCTCTAATTTTCGCCTTATTTCGAAGCTGTGTTATAGAAGCAGTTAAGTAGTCCACCATTTTTCTCCTCATGTGCCTCAATGAGAAGAAAGCTCTGATTTCTCAATATGTGAAGTTCAGTACAGGAATATTCGACGACCACAACAGCTTTTGGAGGTATGGGGAATTGAACCCCAGCCCTCTCCCATGCTAAGGGAGCGCTCTACCACTGAGCTATACCCCCACACAGAAGATGTTGCTGTGGTTTTCCTACAGGAACAGATGAAAATATATTTCGACTCGTCTCGACGCGATTTTTTGGAACACTAAGATGTTCAACCGATTCTCCCCTCACATATTCAGATCCTCCACAACATGCCGGGACGCGGTGACATAAGTTTTCAACGAGATCACTTGTAGTTTAGAAAAAAAAATGAAACAGAACGAACCGGTTTTTTGGCTTTCCTCAACGCTGAAACGTTTAGCAGATCGGAATCTGAGTTAGCGAGGCGAGTATTCTGACCTGATCTACCAGCTTTTGCCTCAGATATCCCAACTGAGAAGGCATGCTTGTGGTCAGCTTGGAGGGAACGTGATCACCGGGTAATGTCGATATCCACAGATTATCGTGTCGGAAAACCTTAGATATTGAGCTATTCCATTTTCAAAAAGGGCAATGTGATGGAACTGCAAATAGCTCAACTTTTCTGGAAAATATTTATGTCGTCAGTGTTGATTTATAAATCAGTTTACCAAATATTTTGGTGTATCTGAAGCAGAAGAATTTCAAGCGTAATAACAACTCGTGGACAATAATCGGGCATGTTTCTTGCGAAAAGGCATATGGGTAGTAAGTCCTGATAAGTCACACCTTTAGATATAGGCACAGTGTGACAACGCGCGAATTAGTTTATCAAGAAGCGCCAAGATAGTCGCTAGTGAAGCACTTTTAGATTTCAGGTGTCTTTATGACACTTTGCGTATTTGATTACTTGTTCTTGAATAAACAAAAAGGCCCTTGGTTCAAAACACGTTAGTTAGTGATCGTATAAAGAACTTTTGTGATTTACTAGAAATATGTGCTATCAATCCATTATGAAGTCTTTGGTCCAAAACAAGTTACTTGGAGATCGTAACGTAAACCGTAAAGAAGGTTGACGTATGTTACAAATGTGTTGTAAATCCATTATGAAGCTGCTGCAAAGAGAGTGGAAAAAACATAGTTATTTGGAGAATGATGAAAGGCAAAAGGAGAAAAACTACTTTAAATTTAGAGGAAAAATAACAAAGCCGATTGAACTACTCAACGTAATGAATTGCTTTAAACCTCTCACTTTCGCTTTCTTCAATTGACCAAATTATATGAAGGCGGTGGTAGATTTTTTGTTTTCTTTATTAAGGAATGCACGATGTAGAACAAAATGGGTAGCTCTTTTCTCATTTTCACTTATTTTGAAGCCGTGCTTTAGGAACACTGAAATGTTCCACTCCTCGTCACGTGCTCCAATAGGAAGAAAATTCTGATTCCTTAATACGTGAAGTATAGGACAGAAATATTCGACGACCATAAAAATGTCTGGAGATGTGGGGAATTGAACCTCGCCCTCTCCCATGCTAAGGGAGCGCACTACCACTGAGCTATACCCCCGTTGCAGAGCTATCGCGATGGTTTTCTATTGAACGAAGTTTGTGACATGCCCTCACATTGACGTCACCTTAGACGAACAGATGAAAAAAAATATTAAAAAAA